TGTTATAATCTAGAATAGGATAGGGATTGGGGCTGCTCTGCTTTGTTTTCACAAATGGCTTATCCCAGAATAACTGCACTTTCCCTCCCCACAGGCTTTGATGTTTTGGGTAGTGGACAATTTCCTCATGAGAAAGGGGAGGACGAAAGCTAAACTGGAAGAAAGGGGAGCCAACCAGGACTCGAGGAATGGGAGCAAGGTCCGCTACCGAAGGGCCGCATCCCACGAGGAGTCTGAGTCTGAGGTAGGGCTGAGCCCTTGCGCTGCTGACCCGAGGATGCTGGTCACGTGAGGATGTCTCACGCCAGCCAGGGGGTGGGAGAGGAGGCTGACAGTTCTCATCCAGCCAGGACCCATTTCTGCTGTCCTGTGGGCCTTTCCAGGGCAGGGAGGTGGAGTACCTGGTGAAGGAGGCTCCTCTCCACATTCCCTCCACTAGTGGAGAAAGACATGAGAGGGAGGAGCTGCTTTGTTCCAGGAAGCTGGCACGAACTTTCGTGGGCCTGACCATTGACCTTTAAGCATAAAGGTGTTTGAATCCTTGATCATTAACAAGCAAGGCATGTGTTGGTTGAACCAGCTGGAAGCTTCTAAAAGGTAGGGGTAGCCAGACTTCCCGGGGGAACTTCATCTCCTCTTATTTTCAAGTTTCCTAAGCTAAAGGTTTGGACTTGAGGGAGACTGCTAGTTATAAACAGGAGCATGGAAGCCAGGTTGTGCTGAGCACTGTGCTGCGCAGGGGCTGCAGAAACGGCTGAGAGAATGACTTCCCCAAGAGGCCTCAGACTTGTGGGTGAGGTGAAGGTGAATGCCTGAACAGCTCGTCATAACACTCTGCTATAAGGTTTAAGACTGAAGCTTTAACAGAACCCTGCAAAGACTCTGGGACAGTCTATTTAACTCCTGGGGCATCCTGGAGGGTGTTTTGAAAGCTGAATAGATGGCAGGACAAAGGGTAAGTCCTAGAATCTGGCATGGGCCTGTTATGTTATAAGAGCTCAGTGAACATTAGGTGAATGACAAACAGCATTACAGGCAGAAGCAGTTGCTCATGAGCAATCCTGGTCATGTGGTTTGGCATTTGGATAATAATGTGAAATTCATTATGGCCAGAGCAGCATGTATGTGAGGATAGGATGGATTGATAAATAAGCTAGAAGCAAAAGTCTGAGCTAGATGGGCAAGGTGCTTTGTGATCTAGGCTGAGAGTGTAGGGTGTGCTTGTACAGGCAGTAGGGAGCCAGAGAGTGTTTGATCAGGGGACAGAGGCTGAAGGGAGGAAGCCCTACAAGAAAGTGGCCCAGGGAGAGGCGGTGAGACCGCCCTGGTCTGGTATAGAATGAGTGGCCTCTGCACAGGTGTGCTTTGGGCCTCTCCATCCTGACCTGGGCTGTCCCAGTCCTTCCTTGGTGCTCAGAGGTTTGAGGTGCCAGGCAGGTGGGCGGCAAAAGTGTGTGTGGATGCCCCGGGTGCCCTGGGTGCATAGCCAAGTCATTCCAGGGGCTCACACAAGTAGAGGGCTCTTGTTTTCAAAAGTTACAAAATTGGCTCAAAGCAGCCACTCTGAAATCCTCCTGCACTGTATGTTCCCCACAGATGTTTTCTTTCCTTTTGAAGGAGGCTTTTGAGTGCGTTTGCTATATTTGAGGCAGCTTCAAGGGCCTGGCACCCCATGTGTCCAGATGGGGCTTTTTTGCCAGGATGACCTTAGGCCACAGGTCCCTGCTGAGTTTGCTCCAACTGGGGTTCAGTTCCAGCTGGAAGTTGGATGGCGAAGTGGTGGGGAGCACTAGCAGAGGGGAGGGCACATCAACTATAGACTTGTTGTCTATAGCCCATGGATGGGGTCTGGGGTGGGCCAGCTTGTCTCCTAATGCTCTTCTAAAGAAACATGAGAGGCCAGGCCTCACGGTGGAGCTGGCACCCCCAAAGGAAGAAGGCACTGCTGGCAGGGCCATGCCTCTCTGCTGCCTCAGGGACACTCAGGGCCATGCCTCTCTGCTGCCTCAGATCCTGATCTCGGCCGACGACGAGATGGAGGAGTCCGATGTGGAGGAGGACCTCCGCAGACTGACCCCCCTGAAGCCTGTGAAGAAAAAGAAGCACCGCTTCGGGCTGCCTGTATGACACATTCCCATGCGGGGGGTCAGGTTTGGGGGCCCAGCCTGCTGCTGGGTCAGCAGACGGTCGCTCTGCAGCATCATTCCTTTCCTCTTCTCTTTGCCCCTCCTCTTCTACCTCCATCCTCTTGCTGTCTCTGCCCACTCCCAGACTACTGTGACTTGAGAGAGGGAGGACGAGCCAGCGCCGAGGGGGCCGTGGCAGTTGGAGGTCCCCACTCAGTTGCACTACAAACACTGACCAAATATGCAAGCAAGGCATTTCGTTTGTTTGTCGTTGTCCCGATGGTGTTGTGAGGGACCCAGAAGCCCTGTGCTGTGTCTGGCATGGTGGCACTGAGGAAGAAACTCACGCACACAGACTGTGTGTAGAGCCTTTCCCCAAGGCTTGGAGAGTGAAGATATAATGTGTTCGGGGCTAAAAGTCACTCATTGACCAAGTTGGAACTGCAATGCTTTCTTACTCGAAATGGCTTTTATAACTATTGATTTCTAAAGGCAGTTTTATGAGCTGTCACAGTGTTAATGTTTTTTGAGTATGTGTTTATTTCCTATGGGACTAATGAGCAAAACATAGATTTTTAAGTCTTCCGTATGCAGTTGACTTTTATATTTTTAAGTTATATTTTCATACTATTGTATTTAAAAACTCTTTTTAATCCCCAAAGAAATGGGTTTGTTTGCCTTTCGTGGGACGTGAATTGATAGAGGGAAAATGTTGGGAGTTTTTTATTTGGATAAACTGGTGATCTACATTAAAATGAGGTAGTGAACTCAGTAGGAAGGGATAGGGGTCCTTGTATGAAATCTACAAGCCCAGTGGTTCTGTAAAGGTCAGGCCTGAGCGGGAGGCAGGTGGTCCGGACATGGATCCAGGGCCCACCAGTGCATGCTCAGGGCCCACCAGCTCTGTGGTATTTCTGCTGGCAGTTTAGAGGTCTTATTTAAATGTGACCAAGAAAGGAAGCTAAGAAGTCTTTGTGTTCAGAGATATTGAGACTATGAGGCCAGTCCTATTTGTTCCCTGCCTTTCTTCAGAGCCTCCAGATCTGAAGTTTAAAATGTCTCAGCCTCCTTGCCTCCCAGTGGTGCAGCCTTCAGAATCAGTCTTTGCACCCAGCTCTAGGTCAGGCTGCCCTGGGCCTGTCATCTTGTCTACTTATTTTTGCACAAGATCCTGGAGACCGCCTATCTGACCACATGATTCAGTTTTTCATATACTCCAGGGCTGTGGAGTGGCTGGGAGTGGGATGAGTCAAGGTGAGAACTCACTCTCTCCATCCGCAGACAGGAAGAGGTCCTTCTAAGCTGTATTTTCTCTGTGGGGAGTGGCCCCGACTCAGCCTGAGCACGGGCCCCTATGGCTTTGGGAGTCTGCTGACTGGCAGTGGAATGGGCTAACCTGGGCAATTGCCCTGCTGTGGAAGAAGCAAGGTGGAGCAGCCCAGTGTTTTGTCACAGCCAGAGGCAGCCATGGACGTTTAGGAACAGAACACTGCACTGCTAAGGTGTGAGCTGGAAGTGAGACAGGTGCAAGGGAGACCCCACTACCTAGAACTTTCTTTTTTAGACCTACATAAACACGTTTCACTTAAGCAGATTGAGTCTGAATTGTAGCATATGAGCCAAGCATTGAAAACAAGCATTCTGGGCCTGCCCTCTGCCTCTCACAGTCCCACCTGTCTGAGACATGGGGGCCAACCCTTGGGGAGGTCTTCTCAGCCCAACTTCTCTAGGAGTCTAGAAGCCAGAGGGCTGTGAGGAGCTGTAACTACAGTAGGAGGCGACTGCCAGAATGGGCATCTGTGGGCAGTGCCTCGTGTGAGATTGGAGTCCATCTCCACTCTCGTATCGCTTCTGCTCTCATTTCATGCCCTTCACTCCTCTCCCGTCCCCTGGCTCTGTTAGTGGATGTCTCCCTGTTAGAGAAGGGGCTTTTGGGAAGACCAAGAC